TATCTTTATAATTACCTTGAAATCTTAATTAATTCTGTCTCCCATCCCCTTGATTTCACTAAGTTAAACATTTATTATAATACTTAATCAATACATTCAATCAATGAAATCGGCTACAGCGTGATGTTAACCCTTTGCATGCCTATATATAAATGTCTAGATACAAGAAGATGTAGAATTGTGCTATAAATTACCATAGAGATACTATCTATTATATTTAATTTTAAGTATGTCAGCTGATCTTGCTGCGTTAATCGGACACAACACAATGCCTGGATACTAGTCCCTGGTCAATTCCGTATCAGTACCAACCAAACAAGAAAACTAAGGAGCCCCCAAGGAGATATCAGGGTATGACTATCCGCATATGTTCTTATGTACAAAAACCAATTGTTATAAATAATTTCCCTTACTGAATCGAGAGCCGAAGTCAGCGGCCTTATTAATCACCTCCCGACGTTGTGAGTTGGTTATCTTAGAGGAGATGGACATATCCTTTTCTTTATCAAAGGGGCGAGTGCTAGGATCATCCTCATTGCCCTTTTTACACGGCTGAAGAGGTTGTGATACATTTCCAGCTGCATTGGATTTCTGTTTTTTATCCTGGAATTGGTAAGCGTGGACCAGCAATAAACTACAGCGCTTGCCATAACTTACGTTGTACTTGTGGATTCTCTCCTGCATAGCCTGTGATAACCTGGCAGGTCGAGTTACTTGACCATTGTTTGTACCAAGTGTACCTGTGCTGACACCCATGACTTTATCTTGTAAACGTTTGATTTTTTCCTCTGGTGTTTCCGTCCAAGACGAATCTATTCCTCCTGATTGGGAACTCGGTGCCGATCTTCCACTTTGAAACTTTCGACTTCTTAATTTAGTTGGATCCACCCTTGAAGCCCTTCCAGTTGAGTCTGGAGGCAGTACCATCCACTCATCTCGTTGACTTCGATCCTCGCAAGCATGATTTTGCTCAGTCAACGGCCCTTTCAGAGTGTTGCTATGTATCTTGGCATTAACTAGTTCAGTTTCCATGTCACCTGAAGGAGGTAAACTTGGACCGATGTCATCGTCATCACTGCTCTCATCTTCGCCCTCAGGTGTGTGATCGTCTGCTGGATTTGCTAAAGGTAACGTTGGTCCGACTACCCTCCGTCGTTTATCAAAATTGTCAACACCATATTCAGGATATGGTGTCGGCTGCTCAAATTTTCGTTTTTCGCTTTGATCCATCGCATGAAAACAGTGCAGTTGACAGGGAAGGAAGGAGCCCATTCATATTGTGTTTATCTTGATAGATGATTATGTAAACATTTAAAGGATAATGTAACGTAACCGGTAAGCCGCTCGGCCTTGTAAGCCGCTCGGCCACCATACCAGAATTCTACGCGTCATATATTTTAAAGCTATTTAATCATCTATTATATTACTAAAAATATCTAAATTATCAAAATTTTAGATAGAATAAAAAAGCCAACTCTTATTAACTATTAAAGCTTTAAATAATTAAAAAATCTATAGTATTTA